GGTGAGTCCAGGTGGCCAACCCGGGAATGTGTCCCTTCACCCGGCACACCACATCCAGTACACGCCTCGCTATGGCCGTGGCGAACCAGCAGCCACGGAAACATTCAGCGAGACATCAAGCCCCGGTTTTGGCACTCGACGATTTGAGTGTCAGCACCGCAAGTTATGTAGCGGAGTCAGCACCAGAGTTAGTGCCGCAGTTAGTGCCGCAGTTAGTGCCGGAGTTAGTGCCAGAGTTAGCGCCGGAGTTAGTGCCGGAGTTAGTGCCGGATTTAGTGCCAGAGTTAGTGCCGGAGTCAGTGCCAGAGTTAGTGCCAGAGTTAGTGCCGGAGTTAGTGCCGGAGTTAGTGCCGGAGTTAGTGCCGGAGTTAACGCCAGAGTTAGTGCCAGAGTTAGTGCCGGAGTTAGTGCCAGAGTTAACGCAAGAGTTAGTGCCAGAGTTAGTACCGGATTTAACGCCAGAGTTAGTGCCGGAGTCAGCGCCAGAGTTAGTGCCGGAGTTAGTGCCGGAGTTAGTGCCGGAGTTAGCGCAAGAGTTAGCGCCGGAGTTAGTGCCGGAGTTAGTGCAGAGTTAGACAGTCGCGTAGACACCGCGGTGTGCTTTGGGTTCGCGTTAGAAGCTGGGGTAGGGTCAGAGATTTGGGATGCAGGCTGAAGTTAGCGCTCGAGTTAGTACGGAGTGAGTAATAGGCCTGGAGTTTGCGAGAGCGTTAGTGTAAGCGTAGAGTGTGTCAGTGCAGGGTGTTAGTGCAGAGTGTCAGTGTGTAGAGTGTTAGTGAAGAGTGATTGGGTAAGAATAGGTTGTTTACCCTTTATGGGACTAAAGCAGTGTTCATATGCAAAGAGGTCCCGTAGATAAGAGTGTTTGAGTGTTAGTGAAGAGCGTTAGAGTGTCAGCGGAGAATGTTATTATAGGGCAGTGGTTCTTTTTAACCTGGAGGGGGGTGCGAGGCGTGGCCAGATTTATTTCGAAGATGAATAATCGAAAACACAAATTGAGCTTTGGCACGTTAAGTAACAACTGACTTTGTTTTATCAAACCCGCTCCAAGTTTATTAACTTTGTACATTTTTTGTAGCGACTGAGAACCAAAGGGGTGAAAGGTTGCAGTCAAGGTTAAGAATCACTGGGGTAGAGTGTTAGTGTAGAGTGTTAGTGTAGAGTGTTAGAGTGTCAGTGTGGAGTGTCAGTGTAGAGTGTAGAGTGTCAGTGTCAGTGTAGAGTGTCAGTGTCAGTGTGGAGTGTCAGTGTAGAGTGTCAGTGTTAGTGTAGAGTGTCAGTGTAGAGTGTCAGTGTGGAGTGTCGGTGTAGAGTGTCAGTGTTAGTGTGTTAGTGTTAGTGTAGAGTGTTAGTGTAGAGTGTCAGTGTTAGTGTAGAGTGCTAGTGTAGAGTGTCAGTGTGGAGTGTCAGTGTAGAGTGGCAGTGTAGAGTGTCAGTGTAGAGTGTCAGTGTGTTAGTGTAGAGTGTCAGTGTAGAGTGTCAGTGTTAGTGTAGAGTGTCAGTGTTAGTGTAGAGTGTTAGTGTAGAGTGTCAGTGTCAGTGTAGAGTGTCAGTGTGTTAGTGTAGAGTGTCAGTGTGGAGTGTCAGTGTGGAGTGTCAGTGTTAGTGTGTTAGTGTAGAGTGTTAGAGTGTCAGCGTAGAGTGTTAGAGTGTCAGTGTAGAGTGTTAGAGTGTCAGTGTAGAGTGTTAGAGTGTCAGTGTGGAGTATTAGTGTAGAGTATCAGTGTAAAGTGTCAATGTAGAGTTTCAGTGTAGAGTGTTAGTGTAGAGTGCCAGTGTGTCAGTGTAGAGTGTCAGTGTAAAGTGTTAGTGTAGAGTGTCAGTGTAGAGTGTTAGTGTAGAGTGTCAGTGTTAGTGTGTTAGTGTAGTGTGTTAGTGTAGTGTGTCAGTGTAGAGTGTCAGTATAGAGTGTCAGTGTAAAGTGCCTGTGTAGAGTGTTAGAGTGTCAGTGTGGAGTGTTAGTGTAGAGTATCAATGTTAGTGTGTCAGTGTACAGTGTCAGTGTAGAGTGTCAGTGTAGTGTGTCAGTGTAGAGTGTTAGTGTAGAGTGTCAGTGTAGTGTGTTAGTGTAGAGTGTTAGTGTATTGTGTCAGTGTAGAGTGTTAGTGTAGTGTGTCAGTGTAGTGTGTCAGTGTAGAGTGTTAGTGTAGAGTGTCAGTGTAGAGTGTCAGTGTAGAGTGTTAGTGTAGAGTGTTAGTGTAGAGTGTTAGTGTAGAGTGTTAGTGTAGAGTGTCAGTGTAGTGTGTTAGTGTAGAGTGTCAGTGTAGAGTGTCAGTGTAGTGTGTCAGTGTAGTGTGTCAGTGTAGAGTGTTAGTGTAGTGTGTCAGTGTAGAGTGTTAGTGTAGAGTGTCAGTGTAGAGTGTCAGTGTAGAGTGTTAGTGTAGAGTGTTAGTGTAGAGTGTTAGTGTAGAGTGTCAGTGTAGAGTGTCAGTGTAGTGTGTTAGTGTAGAGTGTCAGTGTAGAGTGTCAGTGTAGTGTGTCAGTGTAGTGTGTCAGTGTAGAGTGTTAGTGTAGAGTGTCAGTGTAGTGTGTTAGTGTAGAGTGTTAGTGTAGTGTGTCAGTGTAGAGTGTTAGTGTAGTGTGTCAGTGTAGTGTGTCAGTGTAGAGTGTTAGTGTAGAGTGTCAGTGTAGAGTGTCAGTGTAGAGTGTTAGTGTAGAGTGTTAGTGTAGTGTGTCAGTGTAGAGTGTTAGTGTAGAGTGTTAGTGTAGAGTGTCAGTGTAGAGTGTCAGTGTAGTGTGTTAGTCTAGAGTGTCAGTGTAGAGTGTCAGTGTAGTGTGTCAGTGTAGCGTGTCAGTGTAGAGTGTTAGTGTAGAGTGTTAGTGTAGAGTGTCAGTGTAGAGTGTTAGTGTTAGTGTGTCAGTGTAGAGTGTTAGTGTAGTGTGTCAGTGTAGAGTGTTAGTGTAGAGTGTTAGTGTAGAGTGTTAGTGTAGAGTGTCAGTGTAGAGTGTCAGTGTAGTGTGTTAGTGTAGAGTTTTAGTGTAGAGTGTCAGTGTAGAGTGTCAGTGTAGAGTGTTAGTGTAGAGTGTCAGTGTAGAGTGTTAGTGTAGAGTGTCAGTGTAGAGTGTTAGTGTAGAGTGTCAGTGTAGAGTGTTAGTGTTAGTGTGTTAGTGTAGAGTGTTAGTGTAGAGTGTCAGTGTAGTGTGTTAGTGTAGAGTGTTAGTGTAGAGTGTCAGTGTAGAGTGTTAGTGTAGAGTGTTAGTGTAGAGTGTCAGTGTAGAGTGTTAGTGTTAGTGTGTTAGTGTAGAGTGTTAGTGTAGAGTGTCAGTGTAGAGTGTTAGTGTAGAGTGTTAGTGTAGAGTGTTAGTGTAGTGTGTCAGTGCAGTGTGTCAGTGTAGAGTGTTAGTGTAGAGTGTTAGTGTAGAGTGTCAGTGTAGAGTGTTAGTGTAGAGTGTTAGTGTAGAGTGTCAGTGTAGAGTGTTAGTGTAGAGTGTTAGTGTAGAGTGTTAGTGTAGAGTGTTAGTGTAGTGTGTCAGTGCAGTGTGTCAGTGTAGAGTGTCAGTGTAGAGTGTTAGTGTAGAGTGTTAGTGTAGAGTGTCAGTGTAAAGTGTTAGTGTAGAGTGTTAGTGTAGTGTGTTAGTGTAGAGTGTCAGTGTAGAGTGTTAGTGTAGAGTGTTAGTGTAGAGTGTTAGTGTAGAGTGTCAGTGTAGAGTGTTAGTGTAGAGTGTTAGTGTAGAGTGTCAGTGTAGAGTGTTAGTGTAGAGTGTTAGTGTAGAGTGTTAGTGTAGAGTGTCAGTGTAGAGTGTTAGTGTAGAGTGTTAGTGTAGAGTGTTAGTGTAGAGTGTCAGTGTAGAGTGTTAGTGTAGAGTGTTAGTGTAGAGTGTCAGTGTAGAGTGTTAGTGTAGAGTGTTAGTGTAGAGTGTTAGTGTAGAGTGTCAGTGTAGAGTGTCAGTGTAGAGTGTCAGTGTTAGTGTGTTAGTGTAGAGTGTTAGTGTAGAGTGTTAGTGTAGTGTGTTAGTGTAGAGTGTTAGTGTAGAGTGTTAGTGTAGAGTGTCAGTGTAGAGTGTTAGTGTAGAGTGTCAGTGTAGAGTGTCAGTGTAGAGTGTCAGTGTAGAGTGTTAGTGTAGAGTGTCAGTGTAGAGTGTTAGTGTAGAGTGTTAGTGTAGAGTGTCAGTGTAGAGTGTCAGTGTAGAGTGTTAGTGTAGAGTGTTAGTGTAGAGTGTTAGTGTAGAGTGTTAGTGTAGAGTATTAGTGTAGAGTGTCAGTGTAGAGTGTTAGTGTAGAGTGTTAGTGTAGAGTGTCAGTGTAGAGTGTTAGTGTAGAGTGTTAGTGTAGAGTGTTAGTGTAGAGTGTCAGTGTAGAGTGTTATTGTAGAGTGTTAGTGTAGAGTGTTAGTGTAGAGTGTTAGTGTAGAGTGTTAGTGTAGAGTGTTAGTGTAGAGTGTCAGTGTAGAGTGTCAGTGTAGAGTGTTAGTGTAGAGTGTTAGTGTAGTGTGTTAGTGTAGAGTGTTAGTGTAGAGTGTTAGTGTAGAGTGTTATTGTAGAGTGTTAGTGTAGAGTGTTAGTGTAGAGTGTTAGTGTAGAGTGTCAGTGTAGAGTGTCAGTGTAGAGTGTCAGTGTAGAGTGTTAGTGTAGAGTGTTAGTGTAGAGTGTTAGTGTAGTGTGTTAGTGTAGAGTGTTAGTGTAGAGTGTTAGTGTGGAGTGTTAGTGTAGAGTGTTAGTGTGGAGTGTCAGTGTAGAGTGTTAGTGTAGAGTGTTAGTGTAGAGTGTTAGTGTAGAGTGTCAGTGTAGAGTGTTAGTGTAGAGTGTTAGTGTGGAGTGTTAGTGTAGAGTGTTAGTGTGGAGTGTTAGTGTGGAGTGTTAGTGTGGAGTGTTAGTGTAGAGTGTTAGTGTAGAGTGTTAGTGTAGAGTGTTAGTGTTAGTGTGTTAGTGTAGAGTGTTAGTGTAGAGTGTTAGTGTAGAGTGTTAGTGTTAGTGTAGAGTGTTAGTGTAGAGTGTTAGTGTTAGTGTAGAGTGTCAGTCTCGGGCTGTGTGCTGAATTCGCGGCGTCACCAGCCTCTCACCTCCACTCAGCGCGGGGTCGGTCCCCCAAATCCGGGGTTCGGGGTCCCGGGGTCTGCTCCACGGGGGTCCGATGGGGGTCGTTCCCGAGCCGGCACCCCCTCGTGCGCGGGGGGGTGGCGCCCTCGCGTGGCCGCTGACGAGAACGGAACTCGATCCCTGGCCGGGGAAGATCCAACAGGGGTCTCCGAGCGGGGTCCGAGCACGGTACTGGCGGGGTTCTGGCGGAGCTGGGGTAATTAAGGAGTGGTGGTGAAGAAGGAGGGGTTGAGGGGGGGTGAGGGGGGGTGAGGGGGGTTAAGGGGGGGGTGAGGGGGGGATGTCCGCGCACCTGCGCCGCTCACCTGGAGGGGTCCACGAGGGGTCGCGCGTCTGATCCACGACTTCCCGTCACCCCGGGGTCCCATATGCCCCCCCCCCCCCCCAGGGTCCCCTCGTCTCACCCCGATCTCCCCGAGACTCCCCAAGAACCCCAACCCCCCTCACACCCGCACGGGTCCCCTGAGCCTCTCTCCAAGTCCTTCACACCCTCGCATACTTCACGAAACTCCCCCCGTCTCTCCTATGTCCCACACGACTCCATTTGCAAGCATTGTCTCCACCTGGCTCCCCTGGCTCCCCTAGGCTCCCCCTGGCTCCCCCTGGCTCCCCTAGGCTCCCCTATGGCTCTGCCAGGCTCCCCCTAGCTCCTCGAAGGCTCCCGCAGTCCCCCACGTCTCTCCTCGCATCCCCATGGCTCCCAAAACTCCCAGGGTCCCCACCCTGGCTCGGCTTTCTCCGCATCTCCGAAAGCTTCCCCTGTACCCGTCGTGTCTCCTGGTCTCCCACTGTCTCACAGACACACTCCCGTTGTCTCCAGCATGCTCCCCCCCGTCCCCTCTTTGTTTACCCCCTAGTCTCCACATGGGGTCCCCTGTCCCCCCTCGTCTCCCCGATGCCCACACCCCGCGTGGCCGTGCGCGGCGACAGGAGACGTGTGGCTTGGGGGTGAGCGCTGGGCCCGGCGGCATCGATCCTCGGCGCTCACTCCCAGCACTCTCCCGGCACTCCCCCACGCTCTCCTCCCAGCACTCCCCCACGCTCTCCTCCCCACGCTCTCTCCCTGCACTCCCCCACGCTCTCCACCCCACGCTCTCTCCCGGCACTCCCCCCACGCTCTCTCCCTGCACTCCCCCACGCTCTCCTCCCCACGCTCTCTCCCGGCACTCCCCACGCTCTCTCCCGGCACTCCCCCACGCTCTCTCCCGGCACTCCCCCACGCGCTCTCCCAGCACTCCCCCACGCTCTCCTCCCCACGCTCTCTCCCGGCATTCCCCCACGCTCTCCTCCCAGCACTCCCCCCACGCTCTCTCCCTGCACTCTCCCGGCACTCCCCCACGCTCTCTCCCTGCACTCCCCCACGCTCTCCACCCCACGCTCTCCTCCCCACGCTCTCTCCCGGCACTCCCCCACGCTCTCTCCCGGCACTCCCCCCCCGCTCTCCTCCCAGCACTCCCCCCACGCTCTCTCCCTGCACTCCCCCACGCTCTCCACCCCACGCTCTCCTCCCCACGCTCTCTCCCGGCACTCCCCCACGCTCTCTCCCGGCACTCCCCCCACGCTCTCCTCCCAGCACTCCCCCCACGCTCTCTCCCGGCACTCACCCCGGCGGTGGCCCCGAGTAAGGAACGCGAAGTAGGGGAGGGGGGGAACGGCCGCTGTGTTCGCTGGGTCCAGAGGCCCAGGTGGACGCGGGTAGCAAGCGGGGAGTCGGAGCGAGAGGCGCGGCCACGCGGAGCCAGGCCCACGGTGGAGAGCAGAGTCGAGGTCTCCTCCTCCTCCACCTCCTCAACGCACGCCCGGCGCTCACCGCTCGCCCGGGCACACGAATACTCCCGCGCCGCTCATGTCTCCCGCGTCTCCCTCCTCTCTCCCAGTGTTTCTTCTTCCTCCCCCGTGCTCTCCCTCTCTCTCTCTCCCCGCTCTCGACGTCGGCACCGTACGCGACGCGGCACCAATGCGAAATGAGCGGCGCTCCCGCGCAGAGCTCCTCTCCCTCCCGCGTCTCCTTCCCGCGTCTCCCCTTTCCCTCCGCTCCGCGCGACTCCGCGCGCTTCCAGCGCAGCAGCAGCAGCAGCACCTCCTACCCCCCCCCCCTCCCGTGCGATGCGGGCGGCCAGGGGGGGGGGAGATGGGGGGGGAGGTGGGGGGGGGATGGAGGGACACAGAGGGAGGCAGGGACCTGGGATGGGGAGGGAGGGAAACAGAGGGAGAGGGAGACAGGGGGAGGGGATAGAAAATGACCCCCCACCCCCGTCTCTCTAATCTCGCATCCCGCGCGCGTCCGCAGCGCGCGCCTCTCCCCCTATCCCCCACGACCCCCCCCCCCCCCACGGTACCCTTCCTCCCCCTCCCCTCCACAACCCCCACGAGCCCCGCCCCTCGGCTCGGCCACGCGTGCCACGCGCTCGGGAACGATCGCGCGCTCCTCCCCCCAACCCGGGGTGGGGGGGCGTAGTGGGGCGGTGGGGGTCAGCACACAACAGGTGTACGGGGGAAGAGTCGGGGGGGGGGTTGGTGGATCACGGGAGGATGCGTTCATGAGTGGCGCTGAAATTATGATGTTGGCAGTGATGGGAGCGTGAACGTGAAATCGAGACGATTGGTGGTCGTGCTGAGCGCGCGACACGCTGAGCGGGGAGATGGCACAGACGCGGGACAAAGACCCCCCGCATAGCCTTAACAGACGTTTGGGACAAGTGCAGTTAGCGAGCACCTATGAAGGCCAACAGGGCGCGCACGGATGTGGTGCGGCTATAGCACCAGGCCCCATTGCCTTTGTCTCCCCACAGCGCACCGGGTACGGATTTAAGGCTGAGTCGACGTAGAGGAAGCCCATGGCCGGTTCAGGTATTCGATGTTGGCAGCGGGCGGGAAATAAACTCGGATCGTCGGGTTCGTAGGGCAGTGCTCTAACCACTGCGCCACCACTCCCCGCAGCGCGTAAACACAAACAACCACAGGCTCGCTCAGACCACACTATGGGGGGGGGGGGGTGGCGGCTATGGATGAATTTGTTAGAGGGGGAGGGGGGCCTCTATTGCTGAACAGGACCCAACTCCTTCTCGCGCGCTCAGTGGCCCCTGAGCCCGCGTGCACGGTTCGATCCCGACCCCGGCGTGAGTCGCGAGGTGAGTCGCTATTCGCCCCTCTCTCACCGAGAGGCCGCTGCTGCTACGGAAGCGGGAGTAGCGGGTCAGCAGCCACTCGACTCGCCCTGCAGAAAGTTCGCAGGTTCGATCCCACGTCCCGGTGCGGAAGTTGAAACGACGGCGAAAGTTTTTGTTTAAATTCTCACACCTCACACCCCCCCCACCCCGCCCGCCTCCCTCTGTCGACCCAGCAGCGTGACTTTGGGGTGCTCCCCACCTCTAGAGCGGCCATCAGTCGAGGCCCCTTCGGTCAGCGGTGGCCGTAAGCGAGCAATTGCAGGGGCTGCGCCTTTACACTCACCCCTTCACCCCCCCCCCCCCCAGCTCCCTAGATCCGTGGACGAGGGGGTTGCTGACGGTGGGAGCGGTAAGGGGGTGGATGGGAAAGGAGGTGGAGGATAGGGCAGGGGAAGGGAGGAGTGGGAGGGGTGCCCCCCCCTCCGCCCCCCCCCCCAATCCGGTGACTCCCCCGCGTTATTAAATCGGCGTCTGAGCTCGGCACCGATATTGGAGCGCATCTCATCAGAGCGCAATAAGCAAGGGGCAAAGACATGAATTAAATAGGGGGTGCCTAACCCTCCCCGCCCGCCCCCCCCCCCCCCAATGTCCTTACCTAGCGGGGGAAGCCCCCTCGCCCCCCCCCCCACCACCACCGGGCGGGAGCGGATGGGTTCATTTCGAATAGAAAGTCGACGTCGTTCGTAACGTGCGCACCTACGGGGAGCGGTGGCGGTAGTGGTTAGCGCGGCAACACTACGGAACCCGGCGTCCCGAGTTTGACTCGCATCAGTGGCGAGTGTCATCTCACCCTCCCCCCCCCGCCCCCCACATCACCAATCCGGCAGTCACTGTCCAGCGTGGTGAAGTATGATCAAACATCCCCCCGTGACCGACATGGCTTGGATCGGTGTTAATCCAGCATTGGGCAAGATCAATGGGGACTGTAAATTATTACATTATTATAGTTAAAAAACACAGCTCATTGGTCAATCCACTGCTGGACGAGGTTCTAATCCAGCAATGGAATGGGGCGGGGGGGGAGGCATTTGTCCATACTTCCCCACGCTGGTTCAGTGTGGGTTGGTGAAGGCGGAGGAGAGTGCGCGTGTGAATGTCGTGGTGGGAGAGAGTTACGAGGAGGGATGACTCACTCGGGATTGAGAGGTGAGGGAGGGAGTCGCGTGCATTCACAGAGAGACACGGGGAGAGTGACAAGGAGAGGGAGAAAGGAGAGAGGGACACTGAGACGTGGGGGGGGGGGGTCAGAGAGAATGAAGAGAAGAGGGAGAGCGACAGGGAACGAGAGCAGGAAGTTAGAGACGCGGGGAGATGGACGCACAGGGAACGGGGGGGGGGGGGCGCGGAGCGTTCGCCTCGAGGAGATGGAGAGAGACGCGCGGGGGGAGAGCGTGGGAGGGAGCGAGCGCCTCCAGAGAGAGAGAGCGTGGGGAGCAGAAGAGAGAGAGAGTGTGGGGTGGGGGTCTAGACCCCCTCCACCACCCATTCCTCCCCGCCCCTCGGGGCACGGAGATGTGAAGATTACGCAGAGTCTGTCGTGGTCGGGTCACAACTGTCGCCCTCACTGTAATCGCCGCGTGATGGGGTTTGATTCAGGGTGGGAGTGGGGGCGAGGAGTGTGGGGGGAGGGGGGCCGCCCGTGCCGCTTCCCCCGTCTGGGTTAAGTTCAATCCCTTGCCCCTCCTCCCGTGACCCCATCCCAGTTTTCCGCGACCTCGCTGCTGGGGTCGCGCTGATCCGCGGCTCCATTACGCGATATTCTCTGCGGATTTTAAGGCGAAAAGAGGATTTGTGTGTGTGTGTCCCCGTCTGTGCGTGCGTGTGTCTGCGTGTGTGTGTATGCGTGTGTCTGCGTGTGTGTGTGCGTGTTCGTGTGTCTGTGTGTTTGTGCGTGTGTCTGCGTGTGTGTGTCTGCGTGTGTGTGTGCGTGTCTGTGTGTCTGCATGTGCGTGTGTGTTCGTGTGTCTGCGTGCGTGTGTGTGCGTGTGTCTGCGTGTGTGTGTTCGTGTGTCTGTGTGTTCGTGTGTCTGTGTGTGTTCGTGTGTCTGTGTGTGTGTGTGTTTGTGCGTGTTCGTGTGTGCGCGTGTGTATTTGCGCCTGTGTGCGAGATCGACTCGGCCTCAAATGAGTACCTGGTGCGATGTGTAAACATCGCCACTGGGGAGACAAAGGCGGGCGGGCGGGCGTAGTGCTGGCCACCCACCCCATCGTGTGTCGTACCGCCCTTCATAGGCACTCGCTAAGAGCACTTGCCCCGTGCGTCTACTAAGGCTATACGGGGGGCCTGTGTCTTTGTGTGCGTGTGTGTGGCTATTTGAATGTGTGGACTTGTGTTGGTCTTTGTGCGTGTGTGTATTCGTGCGCGTGTGTGTGTGTGAACCTCTGCATGTTTGTGCATTTGTCTTTATTCATGTGTGTGTATATGTCTGTAGACGTGGGTGTGCGTGCAGTGTGTGCCTGTACGCGTGTGTGTATTTGCGGTGATATTTACTGCAATGTAAAGGCAAGGGAATGGCTCTGACTCCCAGCCACACAGCTTTAAGCGGGCCTACCTACAATAATGAAGGTTCTTAACGATTAAGGTTCTTAATGATAAAGGTTCTTAATTATAAAGGTTCTTAATGATGAAGGTTCTTAATCATGAAGAAGGTTCTTAATGATGAATAAGGTTTTTAATGATGAAGGTTCTTAATGATTGTGAGCACACGGTCAGGAACCCTCGACATCATGAAGAATAACCAAGAGCCTTGGCCTATTGATGATATCGTAGGCCTTGAGAAGGTCAATAAATCAGAGACGTAGGTCCTGTTGAAATGTGCCGATACCATCTACTGTAGCAGACGGACAGTGAATATGGGGCAAATGCAGGACCGCCCTGGTCTGAAACCACATTTGGGGCTGCACAAGACTCTCATCAGCGTGCTGCCTGGCCAGGCGAAGTTGAACAACCCTTGAGTTAGTTGTTAAAATCAATACAACCCTCCTTCTTAAAACGGGGGGGGGGGGGGGGGATCACCGGGGCATCCTTCCAAACCAGCGGAACCTCACTCGCTGCTCACGGAGAATGAGTTGCAGACTGATGATAATCGGGGAGGGGGGGGGGTTCTACAAATAGGTGGGGGGCCTTTCCATCAGCCCCACAAAGCAAAAACCACAATCAATCATGCATTACTCTACCCGCACCAACTCCCCATGAGTGACGGGGCAGTTGTGGAGAGAGTGGAGGAGTTTCCCATATCTGGGCAGTGGGCTTATGACCAGCTCCATTTTGGCAGCAAAGATCTCATCGCCGAATCAAGTCAAGCCGGATTATATTTTCATCGGCTGCGTAACACGAAGCTCCGTGTTTTCTCGGCAACAAGTTGTGACCTCCATTCTCTATTGCATGCGAAACGTGGACCATTTAAGAGGAAACATCTGAGCCGGTTTGAAACATTCAGGCTTGCCTGACAACGATCTATCCCGGGTTGATACCAGACTGGATTGTTTGAGCTTACAGAGTCCTTGAGAGATCTGGACACAGTCCTATCAGTGAGCTCCTTCAGCGGGCGAGGCTGCTGCATGGGTCATGTAACCCACATGCCGAGCCACGGCATGCCCAAGCATCTTCTGTTTTTGCCGGATATAGGGGGATAAACGGGCGCAGCACGCACTCGAGCAGAGGACGTGGAGCAGAGTGGATTTGCCGACGACTGGTTACAAGCGGCGTCAAGATCGGCCTCTGTGACGGAGGAGGCTCGCGGAGGACGCCACTGGGCCGTGCCAGGCTAGGAACACGTTGCCGAACGCTGCTGGGCAGTTGGAGGCAGTCGCCCTCCAGCAATAGCGGAGGGCTTGCGGAGCGATACCCGCGGCGACGAGCGAAGCGCCGGGCAGATAAG